GCCTGACTAGTCTGAGCACCTGCGATGGGTGTGCTTGTGTGTGGTGTCTCTCGGGGACGCATCCCCCGCAGGATCCTATCCACCCATCTGCTTTGCTTGTGGGCGACTCTTTCTTCATGAGAAGATTCCCAAAATCGATACTGTGCCCTCTGTCAAAGCCAGTGGCATCACTGCCAAGGTGGATTTGGCCAGGAGCTGCGCAGAGCTGGGTGCGCACTGAACTTCCATTCTCCAAAATCATCCCACCCTGCTCTCTGTCACAAGGGCCTAAGGTTTAAGCAGCCTTTTTGCAAGGAGGGAGACCAGCCTGGGCCCAATGGCTTTCACGTGCCAGAGCCCAGCGCTGGTTGGAGGGTGTTTCTTCACCCTTGTGCAAAGGCGAGTCTCGTGGTCCCCCAACAGCGAGGCAGCTGATGGCAGAGGTGTGTTTTCTTGCTTTCCCTAGCTGTCCCACCTCCCTGCTGAGATGGGTTTCCCTGCAGCAGCATGTTCCCTGGCGTGTACCACCGCCTCCTCCCCAGGCACTTGGCCATTGAACCTTTCTGGAGCCTCCAGAGCTCCTAAAGCAGAGAACATTCAATAGTCTCCAGGTGATGGTCTCAGCCAAGCTGCATTCTGCCCCCCTGCCCCCCACCACTGGCTTTCATTTTTCCTTTTCAAGTCATCAGGCTGGTTTACCCTAGTGCCCATGTCTGAACAACTACTAGGAATGAGAGCTTGGGAAAGCTTTATTTGCTGACACCATTTGTTTCAGCAAAAATACAGATGCAGATATATCCCCAGAGAAGTGTCTGCACTGGTATAGTTTCTTTGGTCTGGGTGAACCAACCAGACTACCCCTACTCCAGGTATGTTTGCTAGCTGAGGTATAGCAGCACATTTTTAATATGGCCCAGGCCACAGTGGCGGCTCCTAATAGGTCTGTGGTTAGGAGTTAGGCAGTCCTGAGCTGCATTATTTTTCCCAGAGATTTTTTTACTAGCCTGTTTATTCTCCGTGTATTTCCAACCTAGGGAAGCTTTATGGCGGAGCTTGCATTTAGTTGGATTCAAAATCTCACAACCTGTTTCGTCTTGAGATATTTTGTCCGACGGGGGGAGGGCAGTGTTCAAATCCAGATACATCGCTCCATCCTGATTTATAGTGGAAGACCCTTGGGTGTCAATAAAAAGGTGTTGCCTTTATCCTGGCTACACTTATATCACATTAGAAAGTAATTCCTCTGTGTGTCTTCTCCTTCTCAAGGACCCCTTGGAGGATGATTAGTCCTGCACTGCTCTCCATAGGTATACAAAAGCTGGCCAACCCCAAACCACTCAGATCAGTAGGCTTTGCTTAAAAGGGGATTTTTCCTTCCTGGGTTGATTTTTTTGGGGTTGTTTATTTTTTCCTCCACAAGGTATTTGAAGTTTTTATTATATTTATATAATAAAAATGTAATGATAAATATGTGTGCATTTATGATGAGAATTTGAATCTCTGTGAAAATAAAATTCTGCTCAATATATGACAGAATCACAGGGTATCTTGTTATCTCCTGACTCCAGGAGGAGGGAATTTAACTGATGGATATTGCATGATAGGTAATCAAGTCACAGCTGCAATTCCTCCCCACCCAGTCCAGGTTATAAATGGCAGAGGGGCAGTGAGCTTTCTGTGGATGGCTTTTGCATCTTCTCCAGCTCTGTCTGAGCTGCCCTGTGCTCGTGAGGGGCTCCTTGGTCTCAGCGAGTAGATAACTTTCTTTCAGTAACCAGCGTTCTTCTGTTATTTGTGTGCTCATGATGAAACCTGCATTACTTTTTTTTTTTTTCAGACTTTCTTACTGAAGCAAGCACAAAACTCTGCAGGATTTAAGATATTTCTTACTCTATTTTATGAGAGCTTGGCTTTTTTTTTTTTTCTAAGATACTTCTTGGCAGCAAGCAGAACTTTGCTTTGTAGATTGCCTAAGTTAGGGTCCTTTGGCAGTATTACAAGACAAGATGATGTTTATAGCTGATGATAATTACTCTTCCTGCAGTAGAAATGCTTAGAAGCCCCACTAAACGTTCACATCTTAATTGCAGAGGGTTTATTTGAAAGGGGAAAAAAAAAAATATCCCACAACTCTCTTCTTTACCCTTGTTCCCCTCACTCCTTAATAAAATTTAAAGAGGGGAAGTTTCTGAACCATGTGAATGTTTCTGCACTTCATCTCTGCTGTAAAGTCTTGTAATTTTTTTTTCTTCCTTTATTCATTTGCTGAAGAGAAAGCTTCAAACTTTAACCTAAACAAAGCTATTCAGTTTTGCCCAATAAGCAGGTAATTTGCCATTTGCACATTGTAAGTTTGAATAGGGGAAAAGAAAACCTGAAGAAACCGAAAGGCCTGCCTGTTTTAGTATAGGTAATAGCCTATAGCTCTTTATACCTATTTGAGCTTCTCACCCTTTTGGCCATTTTTGGAAATAATACAAGGTGCATATAGGAAAGAGGACAAGGTTTGCGTGATGCCTTTAAGAAGGCTTCCACCTGCCATTTCTACCCTAGTAAAACCACAGCAAACACTGGCCCAGCTTCCACGCTGTTGTTATTACCTGATGCAAATCGAATGACTTCTGCGGCCGGGACTGGCTGCAGGAAGCGCATGCAAATCTGTTGGTTCTTTATTAAAAAATCATCATTATCTTTTTTCCCAACTAGCCTGGAAAGAGTTAAAATTCCCATGCAAAGGGCAGAAGAGCTGGAAGGGGTGTCCATCTGAATTTGAATAGATATTCTTCCTTCTTTCACTCCATGTACCCTTTGCCTCTTTGAAGGAGGAGATGAGCAATCCAGTGTAGAGTTGACCCTTCTCACCTTTTCTTCCAGCTGTCCCCGAAGGAGAACGTGGCCCCGGGTGTGGTGGCAGCCATCACTTCAAGGGTAAATGACAAATTATTGGCATTGATAAGCGGGGAGGGAAATATGTGGGAGCTTGATGGCAAAGTACTTGCCTTGCTCCTGGGTTGGGGACAGCGCTTTGGAGCAAGGCAGCTTCTTAGGGATGTGCCAGGGGTATGAGCACGTGCGTGTGGCAGAGAGCAGGGCAAATAGTTTGCAAACAGGGATCGGATGTATTGAGAGAAACAAGCTGACTTCTCAGGGGAGTGAGAGGAGAAGAGGGATTTGGTTTCCCTCTCTGAGAGCGTTTTGCTCTGTGCATGCCTTCCTGAGGCCGGGCCTCCCTGCACACATGTGCCTTGTACAGCACCAAGCCTCAGTCAGCTGAGCCATCTGGAGGGACAAGAAAAGGATGTGGGTGAGGAGGGGAGAGCTGGGAGGGGTCCCCTGCCTCTCCAGGTGTGGTGGAGGATGATGTCAAGCCGAGAGCCACATCAGTTGGTTTGGGAAGCCTGCATAAAGCTCGGGGGAGAGGCCACGGAAGCTGGGAGGGTTCCCAGTGGATAAACGATCCCTTGTCCTCCGTGCGGGAGAGGAAGGATGCGTAAGGTGGGCACACAACAGCAAACTGGGGAGGGGAGGAATGAGGGGGATGCAAAGAGCAACAGGAGGGAAAGTGCATCCTCGGAGCTGATGAATATTCTAGTGACTGTATGTTGAGGAATCAGAAATTTGAAAGTCTGATGGTTTATTATAATTACACATTCATTTGTGCTGTTTAGTGGAAGCCACATGTGCCTGTTGCCTGGGACTGTGACCTGTTATTAAAATCAGTTTTGCCTCCTTTTCCAGAGATCAAGATGAGCGGTGATGCGGCAGATTCCACAGATACTCGGCACGAACCCGACCAGGTGGAGCCAGGTAAGGAGGGTCCGGGATGTGAGGGGCAGACACGGGAGCCCGAGGAGGGAGGGCAAAGAAAAGGGTGGCATGGGTGCTGGAAGTTTCTGTCCGTGCTCTTCTTGACTCTTGTTGCTGCTGCATCGCTCTCTACCAACCAGCCTGGGAGTTGATCAAGAATGCGCTCAGGGCTAGGATTGCGTTGGTATCTTGATCAGCATGCAAGATCCTTCTGTAACAGCAGTGAATCAGTGTGTGTCTCAGTAATGTCCTTCGCAGTTTTAGCATGGAAATACCCTCCCGCCTTGCCAAAGGAATAATGTCGTCGTAATAGTCTTGGTCCGCTCAGTTTAGCACAAACTGCTCTTCATTTTACGCAGGGTTCGTGTCAGGAACGTTTCCTTAGACAAAACTCCCCAGGGACTAAGCCTTTTTTGGCCACATATATGTAGAAAAATGGGAGGGACTTTGGGAATAATCAAATCCAGACAGGTAGTTCCAGCAAAAATGTATTGCTCTTCATCTTGAAGCACAATTGGGTTTCTCATCTCCACTACTCCCATCTGACGGCTGCTCGGTGGCTAGAAACCCCAGTTTTCCTTGAATATGGAAAGCTGAAGAACAGGGTGATCCTTTGAAGATTACAGCACTGGTGTTAGCGCTGATTTCTGTCAAGTTCCCTACCAACTTCTGCGCTGCCACAAGGTGTAATATACACCAGAAAAATCGGGTTTGTGTTTTCTGGCATCACTTCTGACTGCCACTGCCCGCAGTGGGCTTTGAATGCAAGACCTCAAGTCTGTAATTTCACAAAGGCTCATGGTCAGATTCCTTTTTAGGCAAATGAACAGCAATAAGACATATTTTTAACACCCACTAGGTATAACAAATTAAGATTATTAGAAACTGTGAGGCTCATCTGTAGCCTTACAAATAAACACCTTTTAAAGCCAAAACTGCTAGAGAGACTGTGGAAGAATTATTCTTTGAGTAATGAAGACTCCTAAGCTTGGAGTTGGGGGGGATGTGTAACAGCAGATTAAAACATTACATGGAATGATTTTATTGTTTCTCTTTTACTTCTGTTGTTTGGGAGAACTTAGAAAAACTGAGAACCTGGTAAAGCCAGAGAACTCTAGGCATGTTTTGATGGGACTACATCTACCCGTTTATTTACACCTTACAATGAGTACTAGAAATGCTCTGTGCTCTTAGCTATTAAGCAGTGTAATTTGACATAATCTAAGGTAGAGATAAAATCTGGTTCTATTCATGTCCATGAACTCTGATTGACTTTGGTCAGGTCAGCTGCTGCTCAGGGCTTTCAGATGACCCCAAGTTGTTTTTTGAGATAAATGTTTCCAAGCTGTGTAGCAACAAACCTGTCCCCAAGTTCCCAAGCTCTTTCAAAAACTCTCAGTAGCTGTTACAGGGCCTTAAATTGGGAACCGGAGTCTCCTGCAATGTTTTGTGCCTCTTGGCACAGGGAGCTGGTGGATAGTATGGTTGAATCGAGATTAAGGAAGGCTGTATTGAGTACCTGTCCCCAAGTTCCCAAGCTCTTTCAAAAACTCTCAGTACAGGGAGTTACAGGGCCTTAAATTGGGAACCGGAGTCTCCTGCAATGTTTTGTGCCTCTTGGCACAGGGAGCTGGTGGATAGTATGGTTGAATCGAGATTAAGGAAGGCTGTATTGAGTCGGTATTTGATTTTGGTATTGATTATTGCTAAGTGTAGTGGGAAGCTGGCTGCTGATGTTGTAGTCAGTAGTGTTAAATAGGCGAGAAGCTGGCACCACAGTTGATTGGATAAAATATGTTTTTCACCCTAAGCTTCCCAGACAGCCATTAGTGTGAGCTGTAGCACCTCTTTCTAGTGGTAATTGAGAAAAGAAAGCAGAGAAGTGAAGTCAATTTGTTTTAAAATAACAAAAATATTTGCACCAGCAGTAGCTCTGCTCTAGGAGCCTTCAAATCAAGCAGGGAAATCAGAACAAGTAAATCTCCTTCATTTGCAAAAGACTGTCACTTCCCTGGCGGACTGATACAAGGAACCTGTTTAAATTATTCTTTTCTCTAGCGCAGTCCCCGTGACTGGTTGATCTGTTCAGGATCTTGAGAGATTACCGCACCAGACCTAGCTGTGATGAGAGACACTTCAGAGAGTTGGGAGATTCTCATGGGACACTGGAACAAGCAGCCACAACATCTCCGGTGGGGTGACGGGTCCCTTGCAGGAGTCTCAGGGAAGAGGGTGGCCAGGGCAGGATGGCACGCTATTGCTCGGTCGTGTATGTTATACTTCAGGTGGTGTGAGCTGGCACGTCAGCCCCACTGGCAGTCACGGTCACGCAAGCCCGCGGAGGGTCTGCCTTGATGCTTTAACTAAAAGCATCTTTGTCAGGTGTTGGGGTTTTTTCCCCTCTTTCCGACCACTCTGTTTATAAACAACAAAGCTCTTTGTACTGAACTTCCCTGTAAGTTTTTATTTTCCCTTATGCACATTGTTAGAGGACTATTTACTGCTACACCTAATAGTTTAGTTTTTGTTTACTAGCTTCATGTGGGAAAATCTGTTTTCCAATGACTCATTAATTGAAGACCCACTTCCTAATGAATTGGATCAATCCACAGGGCTCCCCGAGTCTTGTTACCCCCCAGAAGGAGAGGCCAGTTACCAAACTAACAATATCATAGCTTACAAAGAACGGGAATCCTTCTAGGTGCAGATTTACAAAGGCCTTTCATCACCAAAAGATGTAGACCCGCTCCAAGAGGAACTTAAAAGAAATACTGGAAAGAGTTGGGTGCCAAAATGCTTTTGTAAACCAAACCCTTGATCTAAAACTGATGCCTAAAGATCTGATGGGAAGTGTCAGTAGGAGAAGCATAATCTCATCCTTTCATATCTCCGCCAGTTGTAGGCTTAGAGGGGGGGGAAAGGGTAATTTAGGGCATTGTTTTACTTTCAAAGTGTTTAAAATAATCGCGGGGCTTTTTCCTTTTTTGAGAAAATTGTCAAGATTATTCATCTTTCATAGGGGTGGTTTTTTTACTTTTTCATCCACACCGATTTCATAGAAAACACTTCAAAGCTTTTAGCGAAAACCCATGTTTGTTTGATTCCACCCCCTCCGTGCCTACTGGTTGTAGTGAAATTTTGCCATTTCACAAAAAGCTGTGATTTTAAAAAAATAAGTAATTGAGGAATATCAGCTACCCTAGCCAGTCCTGTGAATATTAAGCCCTCCTTTACCTGAACTCTGCCTTTTTTATCACGCTACACGCGTGAGGGGGAAGAGGGCAAGAGGCAGGAGCTGCTCCGCGAGGGCAGCAGGTCAGACTGCCTTCCCCCATCGCCCAGGAGCTGTGGAGGTCAGCCCCAGCCCAAGCACCCGGCTGTCTCCCCAGTCTGAGGGTCCTCTTCGCCCTTCCCAGCGCGATGCCCGCGCGGCTGAACGCTCGGCGTGCGGCGGCCGCGGCTGGGCTCGCAGGCAGTCCCGCTGACTCCATGGGGGGTAATGACAAGCGTGAGTTTTATGCTTGGCTGCAAGCTCTTTTCATCTCTGTAAACTGATGAAAGCCATGCCAGCAAGTTCTGGGTTGATTTTTTTTATGGGAACTGTGGGGGCTTGGCACTGCTGAGTGTCGCCCCTGGTCTTCAAGCCGAGAGGCAGAGATCTCCCCCTTCTTGTGGTTTATCTAAGCCCTCTGTATCTGATGCAACAAAATGCTGAGGTGGGACTTGCCTCTGTCTGTCTGTTTGTTTGTGTCAGACACTTGTTCCCCGGTTATCTGCTTGATCAAAACAGGTTACACCAAGCAAAGCTACTTCCCTTTGATTTCATCTGTTGAGGCTATGGGGGGGAAGCCAAAGCTTTAACAAAAGGGCGATAGGGAAGCTCTTCAAACACAACCATCGGTAACTGAATAGCTGCAGGCGCTCCGAACGCCTTCCCTCCCCACCCTGGAACACGGGGAACTGGCCGGCCTGCCAGGAGCCCAGGGCGGGGTGCGCGATGGGCATCCTGGCACAGGGGGAGAGGAGCTGGGGTGTGTTCGTGTGGGTGCAATACAGGACAGCCCTACAGCATCACCGCTGCCCCGGAGCAGCTGGTGTCGCTTCCCTGGGACAGGGGCGCTGGGCTGGCCCAGCGGCTTCGCCCAGCTCTGTCGAGTCTGGGATGTGGAAGAGCAGCAGCCAGGTAGTCACGGGGAGGGCACATGGGGCCAGAAAGCTGGGCTCTTGGCCTGCTTCTGACCCTGGTGGCAACGGCAGTGGGGTTGTCTAATCCTCGCAGTCTGGGTAACGTATCTGGGCACGTTAGGAAGCAATACAGCAGATATCTCTGAGCGTAAGAAAGACCCTTGTCTTTAAACCCCAAGAAAATGAAAATGGTAAGGAGCTATGATGCATATGCTCCTCTGGTCTTGCAAAGTGCCCCTCTTGAGGGGACGCTCGTTTGAATGTCTTTCTTCCCCCCCTGCATCCTCAATTTCAGCCAGCTTGTGCCCGTGGAAGGATGCCAGCATGAGACACCTTCCCTTCACTGCAGCTGCGAGATACCTAAGGACCTCTGGCAGTGGAGGGGAGAAAACAAGGCCCGCTCTGAAACTGGACACCAAAATGTCCCACCCGAGCAAAAGATCTTTCCAGGTCCCCAGCTTCCATATCCGTGCATGTTGGATTAAATCCGTATCAGAGTGGATGGAAAAACAGACCTTGTCTCAGTCTGCCTCTCTGCCACACACTCCCTGTACCAACTTAATTAAGTCCATCCCTCTTCCTCAGCTCCGAAGCGAGGGTCCTGATCTTTTCTCCCACCTTTTTGCCAGGGTGTAACGTCTTTGCAGGTGCTGCTCTCCCCAGGGATGGGTACGGCTTTCGGCAGAATGGAGCCCTGATCTCTGCTGGGCTCTGGAGATGCAGTTGTTTGTTGTATCCCAACCGTAGGTGTCTGGGTAGGGTCTCTTAAACTTGATGGCTCATGCTGGAATAGGGTATGGAGGCTCTGACCTCTG